TATATATATATATATATATATATATATATATATATATATATATATATATATATATATATATATATATATATATATATATATATATATATATATATAATGAACGGCTTGTTGAATTGAATATTCAGAAATTCTTTAATTTATCATTTTTCCCTGAAATTTGCATCAAAGAGAAAAACATTTTATGTTGAGAATATTCCTCTTTGTGGTGGTTGCATTGCATTAAATGTAGGAAAATTTGAGAAATTATTTTACAGTTAAATTAAACTCTTCATATGATACTAATTAGTTTATTGTAGTTATTAAACGAGTGATGTTTTTCTTTTGTTCTTTCCTATTTAGTGATTTGAACGGATTAATTGATTATTCTAATTTTGATCTTTTTTTTTTTTAGTTTTGACTTTGGTAAATTCATTATCATCATTTTTATTAGCATTTAGTAAACAGTATCGTATGATGCACCATTTTGTCTTGCTTACTTTAGGCACAGTAGTAAGCTCTATCGTTCAGAGCGATTTCTACTACGTCGCAAACCCTGTCTATACATATTAGGTATTTCATCAACAAGTGCAGCACTTCTAGCCCTGTTACTTTTTGGTGCTATGGAATTTTACAGTTCATCTGTGGTTCGTTTTAATTTTCCGAAGAGCAAAAGGATTGCGAAAATCTTTACCGTACTTTCTGGATATTACAGTACAACTAGATAATGTGTTCCTTAATAAAAGGAATTCATAAGAAGTTCGATGAAATTTTTTTTTTATTAATTTTCTCCCACCTTTCGCTTTTTTTCCTTCATTTTCACTCATATTTTCCCGGCCAAAGCGTCTTTTCAATCCGGATCCGGAATCTGTATATCGTTTCCAGCATGAATTACATGTTATGCGTCAAGAAGACGAAGTTCTTGTGCGGTACACGAAACGGATCGATTTCTTTCATTGCAGCTATAATTTCAGTGCAGAAGCTGATATTGTAAGTTTTTCGATCTGATAATGAAAAAAAAGAAATGCAGCAAGAAATTATTACAATGTTCAAAATAAATTCCGTTCAAGACAAAGCTATTGATAGCTTTTTTGAACGCGACATATTATTATAAGAAAATATGGTAGGAATGATGGGAATTACTTTCGGATATTATCATGTCACTTCAGATATTACACTTCCGAATATCATCATATCCATATGAGGAATTAATAAGTATGATAAGCACTTATTAGAACTTCAAAAAATGCTGAAAATTTTCGATTTAGGAGCAATGTAGTGATTGTGGTGGTGCTTCATTCGTGCATCTACCAGTGAGAACGCTGAGCACTTCTGATATAACATGTGTTGATTTAAGTCATCGGGTAATGAATTTAATTCATATTCACTGGATTAAATGGAAATGTTTGGAAGATAGAATGATCTTTAAGATAAAGTGCGTAAATGTGTAGAAAAGTAGATTTTGTGCGCCAAGAATGAAGCAATATTCAGTGAACTGCCACGACTAACAGCTTGTCATTGCTGGCATACATGTCCCATATAGATTTGATCTATAAAAGCTTTTAATCTAGATGCTAGTACCAACAAATGTTAATGATGTTTCTGGAACTACATCCTATCGTAATTTGGCTCTTCTTTGCACTATTGTATTCCGATCTAGTTAAATGGAACGAGACATGCATAAATCAAAAATTTTCTGTCATACAGCTCTTAAACTTTAGGCTCTATACATTACAACTATCTTTCAATCATTTTCTCTTTAATATTGTTATGCTAATTATTGTACACTTACCGAAATGCAGTCTTCCGACTTTTCCCTTTCAATACCACAAACCCATCGAGAGAGAAAAAAAGAATTTGTCCAACCTACCAAACTATTTTCAAAAAACATATAATCTTGAATCTTTTTTTCTCGAATATCCCGCAGTAAAAGTTGGCAAAATCTATTTATTTATATAAAGATGCGATCAGAGATTCCGCAAATGGATTACACATTTGGAATGAAAATTATAGATTTATTCATTCATGAATAAGAATATGAGAGAAAAGTTTTTCCAAGTCCAGGAAAACTTTATGATTCGAAAATGAATGAATTTTCCAACTATCTCAAAAAAGAAATAACTTGTCTTCAAGGATTTCATATTTTTAGATTGTCTGGAAAAAGGATTCAGAAACTATAGGTAAAGAAAGTGGACGTGTAGACTTTGCAGTACCTCATTATTTTCCTTCCTGAAATCTAGATTACCTGCCGGAAAATCTTCACCGGATATGATTAGCAATTTCCTTTCGTTTAAACACAGTGAATTTATTTATTGTTTGAATAAGCATTACAGTAAATTGTTTAATGAATGGAACCAAACTGTATGCTATGAAAACGCTGCTCACCCATTTTTCATAATCATCGAATTTTAGACGAAGTGTTTCGATGAAGACGTGGAATGCAACATTTTAGCAAACATACCTTACAAACAATGTGAGGGATTGAGGGGTATTCCAATACGTGAAAGTGAAGGCATTTCAAGCGATTTATTTGTTAAGGTACTTCAAATTTGTTCATTTTATCCGAAAATTTCGAAATAGATATTCTTGCTAAATGTCTCGCTCTTTTGTGCTATTTCAAATTAAAGTAATTAAATGAATTTCAACTGTCTTTCTATAAATTTCCTAATTGCTTACATCTGTAACATACAGTTAATCCCATTTTATGCTCAACTGATTGCCATATGAAAGACAATGAAAATGAACACAATTACACTCTTAAAATGACGGAAATACCATATTGCAGTGATTTGTAAACGATTGCTTTTTTTGCTTCCAAATAATTTTCAGATTATTCAGTCTTTTAAATGATATGGATTAAAAAAAAAGAAAAGTGAAACTATCGATTACCTCTCTGATTTGGTTGTCTTCATTCTCGAATATTAAATGGATTCTCATTATGCATTGTAATATGAAATTTGCAGGTGCTTACAGCAAACATTACAACGCTCATGAACCAAACAGTTGTGTCACAACAAATCGTTGCACTTTGTCCGAGATGTCATTTCTTTGGTAGACCATACCATTCGTATGTGTTTCCTTTTTGTGATTTTAAATGAAAATTTTATTTGTCATTTTTTTTTTTTTGACTGATACTGTCGTTCATTTTTATAGTTTTAAATGTTTTTTTTTGACTGATACTGTCGTTCATTTTTATAGTTTTAAATGAAAGGTTCAAATTTCAGTAAAAACTATTCCTAAAACATGAACTCTAATTTGAGTACATGTGACATCTAATTTCAGATCTATGGGCACATGTGTTCAAAAACTTCACACAATGCGTCCTGGTTGGCCAAAGCAATTTCAGTGGTGTGATTGGTATCAGCCTTCTAACAATTGCATCTGGGATTGAATTATTCGAAGAAACAACGCCCTCTTCTTTTACACTGTTGATTTACTTCAGCCAGTTGTTGGAACATCTTCAACGTACCACTTTTGAATTAAAAATCTAAGAGGATAAAATTTTCTGCTTACAATGCTTTGCACAGTTTCGCATAATAAAGCATGGTCTAATAATACTTGAATTACCGAAACTTACCCTCTAAACTTTCTTCTTACTGGGATGCAAAAACTTCTGTTACTTCATAGAATGTACCTTCAAGTATTTTTAAATTCGTATCAACAACCACAACCGTTTTATTTGTACGATTTGATTTCCGTAATATTCTTTGATTTACTTAAAGTATAACTCATTTTATATTTTGAGTACCAGTATTATTCCTTAATTTTTCAAATATCCATTCTGATTTTCAGACATCCACTCCAACCCATACTTTTAAAGTTGTCTCCTAAAAAGTGATTTTTGCATAATTGTGATGCGAAAATGCAATAAGCATTGCCAACACCTAATTTGAATATTTCATGTTTGGTACTATACTTTTAGGAATCATTTCAAATTAGCACAAAAATCGTCGATCGGATGGCTGGCTTTCAAATTTTATTTTTACTGTCAGTACATTTGTTGTTATTTTGTCACAGCGCGCTTTTATATTCTGGAATTATTGACCATAACAGACAATTATCAAGTCAACTTGTACGTCTCAACTTTTCTTTTTTTTTGTGAATTTATATTTTAGTATATATTTCCAAAAATGATAGAAGGTAGCTTTTCTGTGAACATTTAAGGTGTCGTCATGAATTTTGCATTTTTCTATGTTGCTGATTAATTGAACTAATAATCTGTAGGAACCCTATTTTGTAAGAAATGGTTATGTGAGAGATCGCAAGATGAAATCTGAACTATCAATAAAACGACTGAAATAGCAAATCCGGAAAAGAAACTGGAAAAAAATTATTTTACATTCTTCACACTGTACACATTCTCAGTCATTTTTTGTTTTGTTTTTAATTTATGTTGGTAAATGTCTTAAAATTTGTTGCAAATTTCATGTTTTACATAAAAGTTGAAGAGGATTTGAAAAACTGAAGATCGAAATTTGTCATGTGAAATGAAGAAGTCGGAATTATAATCGGATGACAGCGGATGAGAAAAAGGTGTAGCTAGAAAACTGAAGATAAATTAAATGACAGAAACGGTCCAGAGATACCAGAGAATCCAGATGGCATCTCTCGGCTACTCATAAATTTGATGGCACAAATACAATTATATATATTTGCGCTGTACGCATCAAGTAATTACGAACACTTATCTTTTTCCTTTAGTCCATGCAATCAGCAGATTGACAAATCTAACCTATTTTTGGTATGGTGAAATTTGAATGACAGTTACATAACCATCTGAGACGATGTCTTATATCGCTCCTTTCCTTCGAGCTATTTTTTCTTTGCTTATCATTCGATCAGTAGTTCTGCAAGAAAGTAAGTTTTTGTCTGCAACAATCTAAAAAATTATCTTTAAAAAAAGGTTATCATTTTTAATTAAATTACATATCGGTCATTAGTGGCATATAATCCATCGTTTATAAAACCAAAATAGCTGAGAATAAATTGAACTAAAAATGAGAATATCTTTATTTTTTCCACTTTAGCTAATCAAATTATATATTGATTTAAATTAGATTAAACAATTTAAGATGTTATAGGTCATCTGAATTTTCTAAAATCGCTCGGTAATAATCCAGTAAATTGGCTTCACGATTTCGTTCGGCGTGGTAAAGGCTCTGTTTCCAAGTTGCCATTTGATGAAATATTCATCGATCAATCAGACAGCGATACAAGTAGCATCTCGACAGTAGCGAATATTTTAGCTGAAATCGCAGAAGCGAATACAAATGTTGTCAAAATTGGCGCTGATGTTAGTCATTTGCTTCTTCTGGGTGGAAATTGAAGGGATGATGCAGTAGATTTAAATTAGGAACATCTGTGCCTCTCATTTCCAATCAATCCCCCCCCCCCCCCTCCTCGCAGTAACACCGATAATATAAAATGGAGACATGAGACGAAGCATGAATACCAACAAAAGTTCTGAATTGCAAAACTCTTTGCTTCAAAGTTTAAAAACACATAAAAATTAAAACCCAAGATAACTTTTTAATTGGTTGCTTAATATATATTTATGAAAATTAATGCTTTCTAGTTCATTAAAACCAGATGCTCCATCTTTTAATGGCTTGATCAGAAATTGAGAAATAGAAGGAAGTAATGGAAGATATAAATTGCTGATTCGGTCTTGACTTAGTTTTTAATTCAACAACTTGTATTCTTCTATTATACTGACTTTCCGGTACAGTTTAATATGACGACTGGTAGCGGTTCAAAAGTTATTCCGATTTCCCCCGTTGTACCGATAATAAGCACAAAATCAAGAACATTTTTATCAGCTACGACAATATCTTCATCACCAACAGCAACACTCACATCACAATTAGCAGATACTGAAGCAGCATATTTCCGGCAACTTCGAAATGTCACCGGAAAAACTCAATTTGATTTCAAGCGACTTGCGTCGCTATTGCAAGTAAAAGTTTTCACATTTTTTGTTGTAACTAAAAGATTCACGTCCAACTTATTCATCTTCGTGTCACATCAGTTATTTCCTCGATTTGAGTACAATATCATAGTTAGATTTTAGCAAGCAATGATAACCTGATTTGTAGCAAATGATTGATAGGCGGAAAGCAAAGAAAAGCAATATTACGAAGGAAAACGAAATGAAACAAAATGTTAGAATCAAGAACGATTCATTACCGGGAGAAACAATTCGATCATCGTTTCAACAAAATACATTCAGTGTATCGGATTTGAAACCAATGAGATTCTTTATAATCGTGTGAATCCGGACTGGAAACCAGAAAACAGTCATGCGATTTCTAAGTATGATTTCAAGTAAACGTTTTCTATGGTTATGGGTGGAAAAGGTGGAAGAAATAAGCGAAGATACATAAAAGTGATATACGCCCATTGGTTATGTTGATCTATTGACTTCTTTGTACTTGATAACATTCTCGATTTCCTTCTATCGAACAGGTTGCAAATTGAATTATCTATGAAAGAGCGAAAACCTTAATTTTTGCTTGTCGAACAAAAATAAATTTACTGGCGCACATCTATGAACGTTAATTCTTATTAAAATATAAAATATAAAGTATATTAATGAATAGTACTTTATTATCGTTCTCTTTTAGAAGTTTGGAAATAAAAGATGCAACAGTGTTGTATGAAAATGGCAATCCATCTGGAGGAAATCAAGGTTTGTGCAATTTCTTGAGATATATGAGGAATTCACTTAGAAATTAAATAAAAATACTTTGTTGATCAAAACGCTTAAATATTTGATTAGGTCAAAAGAGATGATGAAAATAACACTATATACACTTCATAAATTTCATACTTTTGATTTCAAAAATTTGTGGTAAAATAAATTAAGCATTGAAAAGAAGTAATCGACACCCTCACGAAATATTGGCATCAATTCTCATTACCAAGCGCGAAAAAGAGAACAACGTTACGATACTACCAGAAACAGCATTACCGACATCTAAAGCGCATACAAATGAGAATCCGACGATTTATATCATCAGAGAAGTGGCGAAATTTACTCTTCTGTTAATTAAGTCAAAAAATCATCGTTTCCCATCACTGAGAAACTTTGTCAAATTCGTTCATTCTGATTATAATTCGTCTAATCAGAAATTAACTAGGAGAAATAAAAGACTAATAATAAAGTTATTGAAATAATATAAACAAAAAAGATATAGAATGTACACACAGCAAGCAAGGTGAAGATTGGTGTAAGCGGTATTTATGCATGACAAACGGACACTAAATATACTATTAATGAGGCCAAGGCTTATCGTATATATGCCATTGAGTAGCCGCAAAAAAGCCAACATCCGAGATACAGAGTCGCGATGACCTGGATGGACGGGTATAGATTGATCTAAATTGGTCTATTCTTCAGGGTTCATTTGTACATAACAATGAAAATGATTACGAATTTGTGTCCTCAATTACACTTATAATTGATGATGGAGAAAAGATTCTAGTGGACACTGGGCTCTCAACCGATATCAACGGGCGTACTTGGATATTGCAAAGTTCGTCTTTATAATCATTCGGTATTATAAGCAATTCAATTAATTATGATTATCTTCCATATGTACATGTACGTTTCCAATATTTTAGAATATTTAAAGAGTAAGTATGCTCACATTTGGTATCATATTTCTAATTTCTACACTTCTGCTCCAGGACTAAGTGAGCTTGGTGCTCCACCGCCTTCAATCAGTCATGTAATCACAACTCATGGCCATCCTGATCATTCTGGCAACACTAACCATTTCCCAGATGCATTTCATTATGTCGGGAGATTTATGCACGCCGGGACGCACTCCTACTTTTCAAGAATTCTTAAGGTGTTCCCTTCGAAATTATTAATACTTTGATCAAAAGAGGTTAAATTAATAATAGAACCAAATATCAACCGGAAACATATGTGGTACATGTTCAATCGTGCCAAAATAATCATTAAAATAACATTAATCCGTATAAAATAAGCAGACTAATTTTTTTCAAAAATTATTACTAAATCAAGTAGGATTTCAGGGTGATACTGAAAAATTGACGAAAAATGTTTATTTGCTAAAAACACCAGGTCATACATCTGACGACATCTCTGTTCTCATTAACAATACCAGCTTTTTTGGTACTGTCATTGTTTCCGGTGAGATTAATATCTTTAGCAAGTAAAACATTCTAATTCTAGTCATTTTACATCTTCTACGTCATCCCTCTCTCTCGGAAGTTGAAATTACTTGTTAGTTGGGATTCAGAAAGTGTCAGTGTAATTATCGTTAATGTCAACTCAATCCTTCCGAGAATCAACTTATGATGGAAGTGTAAAAAGCACAGAGAAATTCTCTCTCAATGGCAGATAAGAATATAAATAGATAAATTGACTTTTGATCGATTTCCCATTTACCAAAATTTCTTACAGTTTAAAATTATCAGATTTCTTTACTGAAAAAAATGAAGCACTGAAAATCTCAACGATGAAAACATCATTGTCATTTCGTTGAAGGTGACATATTTATACGAAAAGAAGACATGAAAAATTCGATGATATGGAAACAGTTAGCAGCTAACGAAATACAACAGGAAGAATCAAGAAAGCGATTACTGTGCTTAGCCGATTGCATTATTCCTGGACATGGACCACTATTTCGTGTAACGAGTAACATGAAACGAGGGCTGAACTGCCCCGGTAGATATTGAGAAGAGCCATCAGCAATCGATAATCACGTATAAGTAATATGTACAGTAAGGTATTTGATAGAATACAATTCCTATAAAATACTAAGGATTCTGCGTTATGACTTTTTATTATTTCATTTAGTACCTCCACACTTGTACTTTAAATTCAAATCTCTTGGTTCCTTTTCCCACAAATGAAATGAATTGCATAACTGAATATCACATGATGGCACGAAAAACCAACTGATAGATATTTGTATCTTTTAGTTGTCTGTAGAAAGATTATCAAACTAAATGTATCCAGCCATTAAGCGTAATTCACATATTCCAACTATAGGGCCGATTGCAAAAAGTTGTATCGTTAATCGAGCTTGAAGGTTAAAAACAATAATATTCGAAAAGGATGAACACTATCCACATTTTATTAAATTTAGAAAAATAAAGAAAACAAAAATAGAAAAAGCAGTTGGTTAAAGTCATATCTGCAGCCATCTCATTTGTATGAAACAATGTATTAATTAGGTAAGTTGGCAGGAAAGTTGAGTAAATATTCAGTAAGAAAAATCATATATGAAAAAATCTTCAGCTTTAACAAAATTTGACGAAGTCCTTCAAAAAATCACGGAAGTGAGCTTTCCATACATGTACTGGATGAGTACATGTTTTTATTTAGATTCTATGAATTCCTTATTCGCGTAGGAATGGTCAAACAATAACTGCTAAATAGTTGCAGAAATAGGAAAATAGAAAGCTGAGAATACAATTTCCCAAATCATTCGCAAAGAGTTTATAAACAAAAAAGAAAAAGTAACAAAGGATTTTAATAAACTGCAAAACCTGGAAATCGACTACTGTAGTCGACTAATCACAATATACACCTTGCCAAGTAATAATAAAAATCTGATTGTGATTAATTTAACTGTTGGATCGAATCACAACGATTATGTTGTATGGAAAAGAGGGAAAATTGGTATAGGAAAAGTTAATGGATATCACTCCCGAACTGCAAAATCCAATCTCGGTATAAAAACAACTTTTACAGAGATAAATTAGGAAGGACCTTCTTGCTCCACTGCGTCCAGTATTTTATCGCGAATCGATCAATACCAAAGTAGTTGAATGCTTTGTAAATGATAATTGCACAGAGAACACATATAAAAAAATGGATTAACGTCAGAATATAGGGATGATCAACGAGAGGACTCGACAGCTTCGCGAATTTTAATTTTTTCGTACCGATGACTGTTCCATAGGACTTCATTGATGTTTGCTGGAAAGAAATAATTCGTGTAGTTTTCTTAATAAATTCTAACAACTGCGCCAACCCTTCTCAAATAATTGATTATTATACCCGAAACGAAATTTTTAACTTCGATTTTGGAAAAAATTGTCCTACGAATTTTCAATACAAGAGTTTATTGACATAAAAATCAACAAATATCACAAAAAGACCCCTGAATTTTCAGTAATTTATGTGCCGCGGGAAAGAAGGTTAATCGTAAATCCTTAATCTACTTCCCAGCAGCTCTCCAAAAAACACATCATTCGTACTTATCTTGTTGGTAAAGAAATCGTAACACTTGATAATATCTACATCTGGCTACTGCAAGGGAAAAGAAACCACAGTTTACAAACAGTTAATAAGCACCAAAGAGTGATTTTGAAATGGAGTCGAGTCTTCCTTGACAGCACTGATAAGCGAATGATGTACAGTGGTCGGCAACAGTTTTCCAACCGAATCAGTTTTAACAGTTTGAGACGCCTAAAAGGAAATTACGTGAAGGTAGACAAACTTGATAATACAAATTTTTTGTGCTCCCACTTGTCATACTATGTGGAAGCACTGCTGAAGACATTTATAATTCCTCTTCATTTAAAGCTGCAAAACTTATAACCTGCAAGATTCTGATTTTGTATGACCCAACGATAAGTCTAAGCTCATCAGTAAAGCTAACAAATTATTTAGCTTCATATCATTTGAAAAGACGTGGAATTCATGGGAAATCTGATCAAGATCAAAGAAAAAGCATACCAAACTTCTAGAAGGTGTGGGATGACGTGAATGGCGATTACGTGAACGTGACCGCGAACCACGTCGCGAATAACTCTTTTTCTTAACCAAGGGTGTCACTTGAGATACACTGCTTTTTTTCGCTGATATCTGCGTCATCTTCAAATAGAGAAAAAAAAATTTTAATTTTGTGTCAAAAAGAGAATGATGTAACAAAAGCTTAACAAATCATCAAATCAAAACTTAAGTTACACGATAAGAATATACCACGATACACATCAAAATAAAGAAAATGTGAACATTGACTTTCACGATATAATTCTTTCTCTGTAATTAAAAGTGTAACAATAGCAACTTGTCATTTCTAATAATGCCGTCTTTATCACACAAAAAAATTCACATCCTTTTTATTTCTACTGTTATATTTATTCAAAATTATTTAAATGTCCATTTAAAACATGATTTCCCTCAGCAATCCTGCTAAACTGTTCCCTTATCCTATTAATATTATTTATCGTTTTGCACGATTTAACCGTCATTCCCAAGAGAGTTCTCTTAAGCCATCATGTTTCTTCTATTTGTTTCAAAAAAACCCTGACAAACTGTCACAGTGAAAGTAGCATAATGGGGGAAACAACTAAACAGTTTGAATATTAATGAAACGATTTTTTGCTGTAGAGATGGAGCCGCATGCCGATGCCGCTTTAATATACTTCTAGTGAAGTGGAACCATTAATCCGTTAGCTACCAGTTACTTCAAAATCATAACTCCTAATTATGAAAAGCCAGTACTAATAAAGGATACATTAACAAATAGCGATAATTTGAAGGTGTAACATAGGTAAATGACTAAATTCAAAAACGATATCAACAGAACGTTTTTAATAAAAAATTAAAACTGTGCCACCAAAATTTGTCCGATGGATGATATAGAAACAGTTTATACCACGGCCTTTATTACATAGATATAGTAGACGGAAGGAATCAATTGATCGTTAAAGAATAGTGGACGACTGTGATAGATAATGAAACGTCACTGTGGGGTTATTGCTCCAATATAATGGTATAAGGCACGCATCTTCACGCTCTAACAGCCGCTTGCTACCGATCGGCTATTTCTCTTTACCACACAACCAGGGAAGAGACGAACATAACGGCTATTACTATTCACATCAAATAATCACTTGATTCCCTCCACTGCCTGTCTTCATTTTAATTTATAAACCAATTGGAATTCGTGAAACTTCGAAATATACCTTATCCACTCGTCCGAATATAGCAGTCTTCTTTGCTTCGTTGACTTTTTACCTCATATTTTTTTCTTAAATAATGCTTTAAAAAATTACTAATCTAAAATACACAACGCTGGACATCCATAAGTTTAAATAGACATCCCAGTTTTGCAGTTTCTTATTTGGAAAGAACTTTTACGTGACTAAAAAAGGGAAAGTTAGTAAATTTTTCCATCAACAAACGATTAGAAAGCCTGAAAATATAAAATGTTCAAGTTATCTAGAAAAAGATTACGGAGCGAAAAGCCAAACGTCCATTTACGAAATGAAGATTTGAACAATGAATTCAGCAAAGTAAGATAAAGAGCACTAAAGTAAGAGGCCAGAATAGGAGCTCATAGTCTTTCATTCGAGACTTATGAAAAACATCACACTTACTTTTTGTTTACTATCTCCGAGACTTGTTAAAAGAGGAAAACCAAGTGGTGAAAGAGTCGATTTTGGCTCGGTGTGATCCGGTTCAAACGAAATATTTTTCAAGCTCTGAAGTGAAGCAAATCGAAGGCATTTTAGAACTTGAAGTTTTAAAATTCAAAGGTAAAACAGAAAGGCAAAAATCATGATATTATTTGAGAAAATGTCATGTTCTTTGGATATTAAATACCAGAAGCAAACAGCAGATAAATTTGCATGAACAGACCTCTAGTTGATTATCAGATTTTCTGGGAGATAATTCCATCTTTAGCGTTGATGAATTCAGAGGACCACCTCTCACTCGTGTTGAATGTGTCATTTTGTAGCTACTTATCTTTTCAGTCCAGAATCCCCTCGTGTACAGTTAAGAAATGATTTTCAAATGCAAAACTACAGATGAAGAAATTTGTAATCTTTGAAATCAAAAAAAAGAACTATATGTACGGAACGTAATACGGACCAAACGTAATGCGAAACGCTGAAAAGTTTTGCGAATATTCACTAAATTCTATGTATACGAAATACCGAATGTAATAAAAACCATATTATAAATATCCATTGAAAGTCTAATTACTAAACTGTAAGGGATGGGTAGAATTTTCCCCACCTCAGGTAACAACTAATAAAGAAAGAATCAATACAAATAAACAATCTGATACAGATTACCAGCAAACAAATATATCAAGTCTATGTAAACCAAATATTGCAAAATCATTGGTAAGAGGCATTGCTTTTCGGAAAGTTTTTTCTAAAAAAAGTTACAATGATCGAAAAGAAACGAAGACGCTAACAGTAATTAGGAAAAAATATAGTAAACAAGGAAGAAAAAAACTGAGAAAGAGCCAGCTGCTTCTGTTTTTGGAGCAGTGATTACGAACATATCAATCATAAAGCGGAAGATACTGCACTGATAAGTGAATAATTCATGTTATAAGTCCAGAACTACCGTTTATCCTTCCATGTACATCCTAGTGATACCGAGGAAGTTTTAAGATGTTTAACACAGTAGCAACAGTTTGAAAAAATAAAGACTTCCATGATGAGATAGTTAGCATCAACGTTCAAAACTATTTCTTGCGGCAAGACGATAACTGTTTGATTAGTTATCGGTATCGTAATCAGCAGATAACAAACTCGATCGAGATCAGCAACGTGAGAGTTAGAGGTCGCGCTGATATCTATGAAAGTTACATAATGACGTCGCCCAACAGTATCAGTAACACCCCACAAGCCCAACCTGGTAGAAGCCTGGAAAATGGGCAGACAAAAGATCCGTCAACGTACAATACAGACTTTGGCGCATTCAGAAATTCGCTTTGATGCACTTTTTATACAAAGCAGCATAAGTGCAATTAGTAAATTACCTTGTCTACAAGTATTTTGCTATGGCTATACTGCGATTCGTTGTCATGAAGTGGTCAATTAATGACTGACCCATGATTCGGCCTGAGGACTGGTCAGTCACAGAATGCGACCGATGAATTGATTCACAGATTGAGAGTGACTCCAGCTGATCAATCCCCATCGTTTATCAAATGGCGCGATTTAACTGCGAGATATGATAGAGTGAGTTCTTTTTGCATTTTACAATATTTAAGTTCTTTTTTCGATTCACATGGTCGTGGAAGGTACCGCAAGCATAGTCAGTTTAAGAAATTCGAATGTGGAAAACATATCTGAAGTTTTAATCAAGAAATATAGATTTGAAAGCTGACAACTAACAAAAAAAAAATGACATTAAATTTATTTGTATATATAAAAAAACTTTCAAGCTAATATATTTTTGTTTAAGCAAAGAATTCATTAAATAGAATACCAAAAGAGATTATCTATAAATAATAATAATAACAATTTCTCGATTACTTTAACTCTTGAAAAAAATTCACTTTCAAATTTATGAATTGAAGAAATGGAAATGGTGAAAAAAAAGAAGAAAGGAATATTTGCTCAACAGATGTTTCATGATGGAAATCATATTATCGTGAAAAAAAAAAAGTTTTTTTTTTTCATTTATATTATTTTACATATATTTACACTTTTTTTTTACTTATATTATTCTTTTTAGTTATATTTATTTATTTACTTATACTATTTACTTGTTTTATTTTTTATATATTATTTTATTCTATTCGTTTGAAAAAATATTTGGAATGATTTTAACGATTGAACAAATCGATAACTTGACAAAAAAAAAAAAAAAACGTATTATTTATTTAAAATATAAAATAATCAAAATATTGATAAAATTCTAAATTTTTTTTAGTTATATTTTACAATTGTTAATCTTAATAATCTGTAATTTAATTAATTTTAATATTTAATAATGAATTTAATATTCAACATACTTTTTGTTTTTGTTTTT